ATGTACTACTTGAACTTGGGCTCAGTTAATTACTGTAAAACATTGAAATATATAGAGAGGAAATTAAAAAGTATTTAGAGCAACGTGTTCAATTCGTTAAGCAAAAAAATACTTATTGAGCGAACCAAATTAGTCGTAGAGATCGTGACAAAGAGGATTGTGAAAAAAGAAAACAAACTGCACGCAAATACTTGTGAATGTTGTTTGACAGTTAGTAAAGTGTATTAAAGTGGCAATTCAGCTCATAGCATTGCGATGACACATCGCGAAACAACCGCAACAATAAAATATCTTAAAAAAATTAAAAAAAAGCAACAAAAAGTGTGGCTATTAAATTTCATTGATTATGAAATTCCTGGCGTGGAAACGACGACGCCGGCAGCTTTATTCACACATAAACTCACACATACAAATATATAAGAAGTTGTGCATATATTTGTACATGCTTTGTACACCTTTCAGCATCTTTGAATGAAATCTTCCCATATAGTGTTAAGTCTACAAATATGCGTGCGTATGAAAGCTAAATAATACAAATATATATATATATATATATATATATATGCATACATAAGTACTCAAGTATCCGTAGCGGTTCGCTTTCGGAATGGCTCATTTAAGCATTTAAGCTGCTGTTAAATTAATTTAAGCTCTTGTTACAAGAGGGCAACGCAGACAACAAAAACAAACGAATAATAATAAGAGCATCCAAACCAAAAACAATAAAAACGAAGCGATCTTTTATAAAAGCATGATTACCGTGATGATGATGTTGAAAATTATGTGTTTGTTGATGATGAACATGATGATGAGTTTATTGATGAAGTGACTGCTGCCATGACGAATACAGGTGTGCTGTGGGAGGGTGTCATAGATGATAAATACCTTAATGATCTCAATTCAAAATCTTCATACAAATGAATTTATGTTAGACTTTGAATTTTAATATTGTATGATGTTAATAATTAATATAGAAATACATGAAAATATGATGTAAATTCATTATGGAAATTTAATTTAAATTTTAAAGCTGCACACCAGTTAGGTAAAAGCTAATTTTAGTGTTTTTCATTTCGATTTATATTATTTTAATTTGCTTTGGCTTATATTGCCTTAATCTATAATATTTAACTTTTAATTTTTTTAGATTTTGTTCAATATTTTTTCAAAATTATTTTATTTTATTTTAGTTAACTCTGTGTCATATTGTGTTTTGTATTAATTTATGTGTTTTATTTTATTCTATTTATTTCACTTTGTACAATTTGTCTTCGTTTGTTTTATTTTAATATATTTTTTTTACTATATTTTTTTTTAAATACTTTTATTTAATGTGATTTAATTTATTTTAATTAAACCTAATTAATATAATTTATTTTATTTTATTTTATTTTTTATTTTTTCTTAATTTTATTATTTTATTGAAATTAATTTAATAAAATAGTACTTTATTTTGTTTTATTTTGATACAATTTTCTTTATTTTATTTTATTTTAATTTATTTTATTTTATTTTATTTTATTTTATACAGTTTAGCTTATATTATTTTATTTTACTTTATTCGCTTTTCGTTTTTTTATTTAATATTCTTTTATCTCTTTTTATTATATTTTTATATTATTTAATATTGTTTTATTATAAGCATAGTATTTTATTATTATTTTATCCTATTTTTGTTTTTGAATCATTTCATAAAATTTCTTAACAGCAATCCCTCCGCTCTTTGGAGATGGATATGAAAGAATTAAATATAAATATTCGACCAATACATTTTTTACTAAATAAAAAATACCTTTTCTTAATTCAGCGTCTTTAATTTAATAAAGATGTGAGTTTTCTATAATATCCATCCATAATTGCATTTTAACCCCCCACCCGTACCGACGGAATGACTTGCTAACCGACTTTAGATTCAACAATACATAAAAGTTACGTAGATGTTGCTGTTCATTACAAACGTCGAAATGTACTATTTATGATTTAGATAAACAATAATAGTTGGTGATCTCATGGCGCACGTGATTTCAAAATATCTAGGCCCTTACTATCAACACCAACGCTATATCATGGGTATTTATTATCCCAATCTTCATGTCAGCTGCATATACATATATAATTGGCACTTTGTAATCGCTGAAGCGATTTTCGGCCGAACACGTCCTCCAGTTTGTATTTTTGCATCTTGAGGTTTTCCCCACAAATGGAAGGATCTGCAGGTTTTTATGAGGAGCCAGAAATACACTCGCAGCGGTTGACATTTCCTTCTGAAGAGCGAACGAAATTGGAAAATTTAACTTAATTTTTTATTCAAATTATTTTTCTATAACATTTTTAAGCTGGTCGTATTAGGATTTAAACCCAGGGCTTTCGAATGGCAGTACGCAATGCTAACCGCTGGCCTATCACTTCGGCTGTATATACGCTTTGACATATATTAAATTATGTATGTATAATAATATACAGGAGCGTTTTGTGTTATATTGTCAATTGGTTATCAACTATTTTACTGTAGGTATATTGGCATCACCTGTACTCGTACGTCATCAAAGGTTACGAACTTACGTCTGAATTTATTAATTAAATTAGCAAGCCCATCCACTCGTTGTTGCGACTTTTTTTGTTGATGTTATGTGATGATTTTTATTGGTATTGTAAAAGAAGAGACGGATAAAGGGTGTGGCATTTAGTCCAGAATATTTAACTGAACTAAGCCTCTACATTTTTTGCATTTGTATATTGCATTCGTTGAGTTTTTGGTAGAGAGAGCAATAGATTAGTCTAAACTCAAAGTCTTCCTTGGAAATTTATATGAGCGATAGTTCACTAAAAGTTTTGGGTAGTGTCTACATCGACAGATTTTTAGTAAATATATATGTATATGCATAGCTGCAAGCGGGTTGGAACCAGTCGTTTCAATCGCATTGCGCAAACTCCAAAGAGAAAACGGATTCGTTATCATATCGTAGAGAACGTCACTCAGCGCAATCGGTACGAAAATATAATGTGACTGTAAAAAAAAGATAGTACGGTATTTTCCAACACGTTTGCTCCATCGTCATCAATTGGGGTATCGGGTTTATCTTTTCCTGATGTATTATTTTCACAACCATTCATCAGGCAGGGAACCGAAAACGGTGATAGCCTTGTATTTTGTTGAACTTTATGTCAAAATCTAGGCCCAAACGATGTTTCATCAAGGAGAATAAATTTTCCAACTGTTATACGAAATACAAGCAATTTGCTCAAACTGTCTTTAATATCGCTTAAGAATGCATAATTGGTCCTTCCCATCCATCTATTAGCAGTTGAATCTAACACCTAGTTTGGGCTGAATTAATCGATTTTACATGGTCCCGTTTTTCCATCCTTGTCCCCTCCACCTCACATTTTGGACGGCGATGTGCAGAATTTATTTTAAGACCAACAGCAAAGAGCTGGGCAGTGCCACTTTTCCAATTAAGAGACCGTACAACCCAGATGCCTGACCTCAAATCCGAGTTTTATTTTTGGGATTTTTTATTTGAGCAGATTTTTTAAGCCTCACTACTTTAGTTCGCCCTCATTTCAATTAAACGGCGATCGAAATTTTTTCCACTTGCAGTCATCTATTTTATATTATTTAATTTTATATTTTTTGTTTAGTTATAAATAATAAGAAAATCGATATGTGTCATGTTTTATAATATTTAATGATTCATTATATTAAATAATATTTAAATTGATTTGTAATAAAATCAATATCAAATGGAAATGCAACATAAATATGCATTATATTTTATGGCATGCATATGTGCAAATACGTATGACTCCTTACTGGAAAAAAAATTTACGTCAGCTAATAAAATTACCTTTATCCATGTAAGCCTTCCAACATATATATTAGTGACTAATGGCACAGAATAAATTCGATATAACGCAGAAAATTACCACTTATATTCGCGTTCAACGAAGCGACCTTGTAGGATACCTAATAAACCCATCGAAAGTACTCTAAGCACACAAATGGAATATGTATGATCATGTTATTACTATACTGTACACTTTCTCCTATTGCTGGTACTTTTTATGAGGATCTTTCATTTCAAGAGAAGAGCTTAACATTACCGGCTGAGAGAGAGGCCGAGAGGCAGACGAACAATTGAACAATTTTCTTACTTAGGTGAGTGTGCACTTGCGCAATTAATTATTTAAGTGAAATTATTTATTTGTAATAAAGGTTCCACAGCTGAGTTGCTCTCAAAGAGCTAATTTAGCGTCACCACAACTGGGGACTCCTTTAACCATAGACAATTTTGCAATAATTTTTATTTGTTTTCGCAAAAAGGAATACAAACTGAATACACCTCTTGATTTGTCTTGAATTGTAGGAATGTAATATATATGTGACGGATATTTCCACTTACTGTAATGAAGAGTTTAATGCAATAATATGAAAAAGTATTGAAAAAGCACCAAAGCAGAGTGGGAGGATGGCTGTTGTGCATGTAAAAATGAACAATAAAATAATTCTTATTTAAAAAAATCTTTTTTAAGATAGCTAAATGATACTTTTGCGCTCTCTACTAATTGTTTTTTTTATATTTTATTTCCTTCATTTTTATCTTTTTTTGTGCTTTTCAGTAGCGCAAGTAGTTGGGGACTTTTATGGAGTGTCTGCTAGACTTTCTCTGTCTGGAGCTTAAAATATTTGAGTTTACCTACACATACCGCCCCGTTTCAGTCAAACATACATTCAAACATAAATTCAAACATACATTCAAATATATTTTATGCATTATCGTTTAATCTTTATGATTCTGATAAGTTTCCGGAGGCGTGAAGTATTTTATTACAACAATACGTAGTGAAGTATTAACGTTGATAAGGAAACAAAAACAACCAACCATCCATCTATAAAAAAATTGAGTAAATATTGGATTTTGATATATCGATATTGTACCATACTTATTGAGTATAAATATAATCGTCTGTATAAATATCGTGAACAGTTCAAATTCAAATCAAAGGCGTAAACTACTCCTGTTAGCAGAGGTGTTAAAATCAATTAATCAATCGAAAGTGATTGAAAGAGCGTAATTGTACGTTAGAAATAATAGCCAAAGTTTGAGGAAGTAGGAATTTGTGCTACAATTTTTTATTACTGGAAGAAAAAATTAATTTTTTACATTTATAAACAATTACCTGTAATTACTATGGAGATGAAAAGTGTTGGTGAGTAAAATTTGGAATCTTGAGAGAAAAAATACTTTAAAATCTATGTATTTTGAATGAATTGACGGTCCGTGGATATTCAATTGTTAAATGATAACTTTTTTTTAACAAAAAAATATCACTTCCATTTTTGTTAACCTTAAATACAAACAATTAAGAATAAGGAAGTTAAAAAAAAAATATTACGGTTTTTCATAAAAAATTTCTAACGTTCAATTTTCTAAGTCTTTTTTAAAAATGCAACTTAGAACAATGGCAATTATTAACATACTTTTTAATACAGATAGCAAAGTCTTCTGGAAAAAATTTTTTTATTTAGTTGAACATTTTTTTGCTACATTTCATTTCTTAATTTATTTAAATAAATCGTATTTATTCTATTTGATTTCAACTTATGTTTTTTAAATTGATTTTTTTTATATATTTTGATTGAGGTTATTTTAATTTTTTTTTGTTTTAGTGCATTTAAGTTTTTTTATTTTTTTATTTTGTTTTAAATTATTTTATTTTATTTTAATTTTTTTTGATATAATCTATTCTATTTTATTTCATTACAAAATATTATATTATATTTTACTTCATTGTTTATTTTAGTTTATTTTAATTTACGTTTTTTCGATATTTTTATGTTATTTAAATTTATTTTAAGTGTTATGTTTCATATTATTTTTTTAAATTATTATTTTTTTGTTGTATTATAGTTTAGTTAGTTTTATTTTATTTTATTTTATTTTATTTTATTTTATTTTATTTTATTTTATTTTATTTTATTTTATTTTATTTTATTTTATTTTATTTTATTTTATTTTATTTTATTTTATTTTATTTTATTTTATTTTATTTGTTTCTATTTTTTTAATATTTTTAATAATTTAATAAAAATTTCTTATTAAATTTAAAATTAATGATATTATGTTTCATTATTCATTTCATATTTTAAAATTTAATAATACAATAATTATTTAGTTTCATTTAAATTTTACCTTAAGTAAGCTAAATTATTATTGCAATTTTTATAAATTCATTCCCTCTTTTTTTAAAAGGAATTACGAGGAAGTCCCCTTTCATTTTTTAGATAAACGATCGTTATCTTTCTTTTAAATTAAATGTACATAATTATCATTCCTTTTAATTTGTACACTATAAATAGCCACTTACCGACCGTAAAAAGAAATAATTGCTTCTTAATAGTTCAATTTGTTATCAAATACCAAATCAAATCAATACTACAAACACTGACCTTCCCCAAATATATGCGATAGCCATATGAAATTTATACTCGTACATGTGTATATAAATATTTTAAAGTCGTCATCAGTTTTTTTTATTTATTTACACTCAGATATGGCTTCCGCTGCTTTCTGAATTACTGCTAAACAACTTAATTAGCGCTAACTTTTGTAGAGTCAAATTATGTATATGCATATGTTTATTTGTGTATAGATTTGAATGCCTTTTAAACTGAGTATAAACATTTCGGCAAGCGCGCCCACATAACAGTTTAATATACAAGCGATGGATGACGCGTTGGTTAAATTTCGATGAGAGCAGCTGGAGGGCGAAAATTGTGAAGATTGAACTGTTTTGAATCGTTTTTTTATTTCTTTATATAAATTTGTTTGTATGTGCTTGAGAATTAACACGTCATTAGTATGACGGTTCAACAGCGGCGACCTAGAGATTGAATTATATGACTAAACTTTTTTTATTTTCAACTTTTTGGTTTTGTAAAAATTAAATTTGTCTTGGTTGTGGCCTACGTTTAATGAGTTTTGAATATTGGTAACCAAAAAATGCACTTGCCAGATTTGGCACTAATTATTGTATATAAAATTTAACTTTAATTTTTAGACTTCGATGTATCATGCTTTTACGCATTTTCAAAAGGTTGAACGTGTGCAAATAAATGGATGGCAATATTTCGTTGAAAATTATTAATTCGGTATTCTTAAAATTTTCATCTATCAAGTGGTACAGGTTTCATTCTATCTAGTTTAAAGAAAAATTCAACATCAATCCCTAGAACTCAATATTTTCACTCTTCATTTCGGGATCCCATTTTTGACGGGTTTGTATGTTTTTCAAACTTATTCGGTTTGAAATAATAGAAAATGAAAACATTTTTCTATATGCTGAATTTCCTTTTGCACTGCCTCTTTGAACAGAAATTCGTTGATGTATGTAAATGAAAACCGAACCGAAACAATAAATGAAAATTAAATTAAATTCCCAAGTGAAACTCGAAAGCGTATAAAAAAGCCAAATTACGGCATTCATATTGCAAAAGTAAAAAAAATATATATCACGTAGGGCTACTAGCTGTTGCTTAGCAACTTTTTGGCTGACTGGCAGACTGTTCGCATGGTCATTTAACTCTCAACCGCAACTTGCTCCACAATACACCACTTGTTCGACTCATCGGCGAATGCCAATGAGTGACTAATCTGCAATTCTGATGAAATTCATGTGAAGTTGCTCTTTTACGCTGGCGTCTGTTATTGTTGTTGCTTTGTGGCTATTAACGCTGAAAAAGCCAATTTGTAGGAAGAGTCCAATTGAAATAACGATACGCTTTATTAGCCAATTCAAACAAAACTAATTGTGGTAGGCTCACGCCAACGCCAATACTGACCACACATTAAATAATGCTCACTAACGCTAATGATAAGCGTGAAAAATGTTTATACATACATATGTACACTCGTTATCATCCTGTTTGACAGCAAAGGCATTTTTGCCTGACCCACATGTTGTATGAGTAAAATCGGAGTGCATTGCCAGTTCGAAGGCACGAACAACTCACCACTGCACATCGACATAGGCACATGTAAGATTGCCATACTAGTAAATATGTATTGTTTATTTACACTCTGCACAATTGAAAACGTTTTAAGTAGGCAATGTTGTGTTGGTCATGTCGCGTGCCGAATAACTTCGTTATCAATTCGCTGCACGACCAAATGAATGGGAGTAGACTCAATTTAAAATATGACACCTAACTCAATTATTGCGCCCAAGTGATGTACTTACATAGATATGTGTGCACTTGTGTATACATTGATTTGTGTTTGTTGCAATAAATAAACTTGTAATTTGAGTAATTTATTGCTGATTAAAATGCAATAAATCAATGAACGATCTCACCCGTGCGAAATTATGGCATGCATACTGCTTACTCATACACGTACGTGTATGCTCTCATTTGCGTGTGCTTACATACGAGTACATGTGTCAATTTTAAATGGCAAATATTTTCATTCTACTTGCCATTTCATTCATTAAAAGACTTTTTGTTTGTAAATAGTATAATACGTACTTCTCAATAAGGTGTGAACAAAATAGTTAAATACTTGGCAATAAAATTATTTTTAAACATGACAATGCAAAATAAGTGTAGATATTTGTTTATGAAAATTTCGCATAGACGTGTGAATTAAAGAAAATAATATATAATTTGGCCATTTACTATTTTAATTGCGATGATTATTACATTTAATTTTGAGCTGGAATATCCGGTTTGTCAAAATAATTAAAATTCTCTCTTCTTCGGAAAATTATCGGCACTTTAATTCCACAATAAAATTAGTCAATCGAAATCACTCAAAATATTGATTTTATCTAGCCAAGATTCGAACTCATAACTCTCTGCAGAATATGACATTATTACCTGTTTGGCTTTTGCATCCGCCAAAGCTTTAGTGAAAGAAAAAAATATAAATATCTTCTTATTACATAAAAGTTATCTTAAATCCTTTGATTATTAAAAATTTCTTGAAAACTTAAAATCTTTAGATCACAGAAAATAGTTTATTTTAAAAACTATTTATCAAGCTTACAAATTTTCTTTTATAATTTTCTGATAAACATAGTTTTTCCAAAAGCTTTATTTAGGCTTGCGACCAAAAAAAATAAATTTTGCTTATCTAAAAATCAATAAGCTCAATTTGTTCCCATCGCTCTCTTTTCATTATATATATGAAAGAAAGTACTAAGTTTATAGTATTACTTCCAACAAAAATATTTGCCTAACACTTGTAGAGAGAAAACAAATTTTTAATACATTTTTTTCCAGTAAAACGTTATCCTAAAAGCTTTTGGTAATAAGAATTTGCCCTAAAAGCTTTTGATTGAATTGATTTGTTTTAATCAACAGGCTAGGATATGAAACATTAGCACAAGAGCTTTCATTTAAGCTTTGTGAAAGGTAAATAAATAGTTGCATTGGTAATAAATTTTGAGCTTAAAAGCTTAGAATTAAGTTCAGGTATTTTTGAATTTCGTTCTATTAAAAAATTATTTTACTAATAATATTTTTTTTCAAACTTTTAGTCAAGCTCCAGAGCAAAGAGTATTAGATTGATGAAAACGAAAAAAATATTTTTCTGTAAAAGGTATTTTAAAACTTAGAACTGAAAGTTTAAAAAAAAAATTTACACTATCCTCAGCTCTACAGGCTTTACAAGAATATTTAATAATAACTCACTATATGAGTACTTAAGCATAGAATTCGTTGACAGAATAATATTTTTAAAAAAGCTTTCGAAAACTTAGAATGTTTGAGAGCTTCTTTACCCTTTCCTACATTGATGTCATAGATGGATTAAGTAAATACCGTGATTTCATTTTTAAATTAATTGAGAGCTGTCATTATTAATTTGAATTTTGATTTTTACTCTGCTCTTTCTTCATAATCTTCGCAGTTTTCAATTATGCGCTAATCTCCAATCAAAAGCTGCAGTTAAAAAAAAATGCAAATATTTTAAGTATAAACCAATTAATGCGTTTTATTGATGATTCAAGAAGTAAAAAAATTGAGTTTCATATATGAACAAATAAAGAGAGGAGAATGAAAAAAGCAATAACGAAATGCCATGAACTCAGCCGCAACGGTTGGTCACCTTTTAGGGTATACCGTCGACTTTACTTTTAATGAATGAGTAATAGATTTAATTTTGGCAGTGAAGTGACAGAGTGATTGAATTGGATGATGATTTCTACATCATCTTCAATTTGTATAACGCCTATGGATTTTTATAAAAAATTTTTTACTTCTTTTATTAACATTTTTGTTTAAGTGAACGAATAACTCTACCAAAGACGACATAAATTGGCTTTAAAAGATTAAAAAAGATGTTTAGGCAATACACTGGAAGCCACTAGAGATCAAAGGAAAAAAAAATAAGTTCAAACTAGCTCAACATCAAAAGTTTTAATTTATTAATTTTAATTAATTAATATTATTATTTTGAGTCGCTTAAAATCAATTGAATTGTAGCACAAGATCCCTTAATAATACTAAATAAAAGATTTAACTTTTAAATAGCAAAAATCTAATTTCACAATTGGCGGGAAACAGAAATATCTCACGTGCTTATTTTTTCACAAAACTGTTGCTCCAATTTGCTCGCCAAATAACAGCACATCGCTATTCGTGCCTTACACACCTCATACTTTTGTTTGCGTGGGCTGGAAATACCCATTGCCTCTGCCTCTACCTTTACAACCTCCCCTACAACGCGTAGTGTGATCAGCTGTTTGCAATTTCATTCATAAAATTTTCGCTACACTGAGTACTCAGATAAAGTTATCAAACTGAGCGCCAGCGGGCATGTGTACCATAAGAGTGTATGAGTGAGTGAGCGAGTGAGCGAGCTAGTCAGTTAGTGAGTATAAAGCCCACAGCACCTCCCGTTAGGCATAGGTAGGTGCATTTCACCACATGCCTCCAGCGCACCCACTTTTACGTGTGTATTTGTGAGAGAGTATTTTGGCACAACTCTTTCACTCAATTAATTGTTGGAACACCGCTAGCATGGGTTGCATGTATGGGTTGAATGGGTGGTTATGTGCCCGTGGCTTGGGAATTTTTATGGTGTAATGTCTCTAGTTAACTGATGCATAATTAATATCATGAAAATACTGATAAACTAGACACAGACAGCCGTAGAAATAGTCGCAGTGTTATAAACTTAACTTACGAATTATTCTCAATAAATCGTGAGCGGGGGATTTTTTTTCAACTTCACAGGTAAAAGCAGCAGCAATTGGCGCACAAGATGAAATTATTAGCACTTTTTATTCGTTATTTCATTTATAATTTCAATTTCACAATTTTTTCTACACCTTTATTATGTAATTGCTTTTATGAAATTATATGATAAATTTCCCACAAACATATATGTATATTTCAAACACTCTTTAATGCGAGAAAAAAAATCCCATTACAGACTATTACTACCATGTGGAATATGTGGGCGGGTCCACTAAAGCGCATCCACCAGTACGTGGCCTCAACAAAACAATGAATAGTGTTTTGGGTTATTCACTATTCGTCATAATCATCTTCATAACTGTCATCCACATGCCACAACAAAGCACTGCTGCAGCTTTGACGAAAAATGCCGCTACTGAGTTCGACTCACCAGAATCAGTTGAGGATGCATTGAATATGTTGCACGAGTTGTCTCGATTCATACATGGCGAACATCAAGTTGATGGCGACGGCGCAAAAGTGCGTCATGTGTTTAAGCGGCAAAATATCATGCACACATCAGTTAAATCTGCTGATATACCGGCATGGCAAAATGTTTGTAGTCAGGACAATGTTTGGAGTGGTGATGAGTTGCCAGAGGATCTAAGTGATGATTATATTAAATTGGTGAGTGAAATTGGCGAGTGTTCTCTAGACAAGAGAATATTCTTCGAACAAATGATGTATGAAAATGTTAAAAAAAAGTGTTTTGTAGGAAAAAAGAATTAAATTTTTTATAGTGAAAATTTTCACTCAATGGAGAGATTTTATTGTACAAATAACTATAAATTTGCATAGATGTATATTTGAATCTGTCTTCAAATATTAAAATTTAATCCAACGGATGAATAGTTAAAAACAATAATGATTAAATAAAAAATTTATGCAAATCTATATATTCAAAGAATTAATCTTTAAAAAAATTAAATTTATAGTCAATTTCTATAAATTTATATTCTTCCTTCAAAGAGCGAAATTAGGAATTTATCGAAATTTAATTTTGAATTAATAATGCATTTAAAGGGATTAGTGTTTGAAAGTATGAACAAAATAAGTTTTAAAAAATTAATGATTTTTATGATTAAATAATTCAACATCACTAATTTGAATTAACTTATTTTATTAATTTATTTTGCTTTATAAGTTACATACACCAAAGAAAATCATGCGCTAAGTTTTCGAAAACACAAAAGAGGCTCATTTAAAATATGTCTGTTTTCAAAATAGATTTTTAGTAATAATTACACCTAGTAGATAAATTTTATGTTATGGCAGTATCCACGGCAATTAATATGCAGGAGATCGCTCAAATTATTTTTCTTAAAGATGAATAACAGTTTTTTGATTGTCAATTAAGGTAGATGAATATCTTATCTAGTTAAATAATTTTATATTAAAAGAAATGTAAGCAAAGAATAAAAAACTCCACTGAAAAACGAATTTCTCTGCTTTAAAAAATTTAATATTTAATTTATTTTTATTTCAAAGGAATCATCGGAATAAAATGAATTTCGTTTAAGTTTTTCCATTGGGAAAATCAATTGAGTTGCTTTAGCTGTTATACATTTTGTGAAATAAAAACATGAAAATTAAATAAAAATTAATAAAAATAATAATAATAATTAAAATAAATTCATTCATTCAATGAATTTCTTTTTCTCTTACAGTATATGAGGCATTTGCGAAAAGTGGTACGACTAGAGTACAAAACTCTTAAAACTAATGGTTTCGATGATATCGACATTGATGATATGCAAGCATGGCGTCGTCATGAACACAAATACAAATTTTTGCCCACATTGAAGCACAATGCAACGGTAAGTACTCTGTTTGATCATATATGTATGCATGCATGTATGTATGTGCAATATGTAGATTATACGCAACATTGGAAATGAGAGCATTAGAGGAGGCAAAGGGCAACACTCCTACAATACGCCAACCGATGACTAAGAGCACAAGCCAAACGCTTTCCTACGCTTTATTCATCCACTTAAATATATAGTAAGTCACAACGTCTCGTATATACACACATGACGTATACTACATTCGGCGTAAAAATGCCACGCGCCAAATAACCCCATTCAAAAGAAACATGTGCTTGCACGTAGGCATGAATGGCAGTGGCGGCGAAAGCGGCATGACCACAAAAGAGCTATTACTAACAGTAATTACATGAAATACTTCTTATCTAAGTGATTTACCAGACACTTTGACGCCAAAGTTCGACCAACCGCCACAAATGTTGCAACGATTCATCGAAGTTCATGCAATCATACAAACTCAAGTGGCTATGAATGGCAAAATGTCATTAGACATTTAATGGATTTTTTTTCCTATTTACTTTTCAAATTATTTACCTCCTCAAAAATCCCATTATTTACGTCAATATCCAGCTCATTAAATAGAACTCACTCACAGCAGTGTGTAAAGTAATTTGTGTTTTATCACTTACGTGTATTAATGCGGTGCGGCCACCGCTGCATCGCTGTTTGGTGCTTTTGTGAAAAAACCCAACACGTAGCAGAGTTTATGAGAACAAACACACTCGATATTCTGGAGTGTGGTGTCATCATTTTGTCTGCAGGGGATTTTTTTCTTTACCTGCCCACAACTGCGGTTGCTAGACATCCAAGCTCTCCCCACTTAAGTAACTAAGGCATGCTTCAGATTTCCATCTAGACCCAAATGTATGTGTGATCAATGTTTATATGTATGTATTATATGTGCTCATAGCGATGATAGCAGAATTGCGATCACACATTTGCGCAAATCACTTTTGTAAATAAATCCAGGTTAGTCCGTATTTGCTAGACAATTGGTCACTGTAGAAAATACCGCATGACACACTCAATAAAAGTTAGAGAGAGAGGCAGAGAGAGACGGTGGAGGAAAGAGAAATGAAGAGCGAGATGGGGAGAGAGAGAGGGGGAGAGAAAGAGTGAAATTTAGAAAGTGGAATTTAGTGATCAATGTCTTTGTTCTCTTAAAGTTTTCTTCTTTTCTAATTCCACGATCTCCCATTTAGAAAGTTCTAATGGCCTATTCCCAAATTAATCTTCGTCCATTCTTTCAATAATCTTTCGGAAGCTATTAACTAACTATCCTCCAATCACTCTGAGCAAACAAGGATTGCTGTAAGATCAGGCGAGATTTGAATAGGCCTCTGCATGTTAGGACGACACGCAGGAGCACTGAAAGGATCCTTGCAGTAGGAATAATCATAAGAAGGCAGCCGTTATATTTTTTGTCTTTCATCATTGCCTAAACAAAACAGTTGACGTCAAGGAAATTTCTCTAATGAGATTTAAGAAATAACCGGAGCTTTCTAATAGCGGGGCTAGTGATCAAAAGATTTTGACTTCACAATTGATCTCGTTTTCGCTTAAGCAAAATTGATGCTTATTCATCTCCAGCCATTCCAGCTCTTATCTAATCTAATAAGATAACCACCCCCGTAGATAACAAAAGATATTAGTTCTTTAATAGATATATAAAAATATTTAGGTGGTCCAAGAATTCATATTATTATTCCACTTGCCGCTGAACGCTCTGGTCTGTAGAGAGTCATATTGTATTAAGTCCTTATTTAACAACCGAAACATCGAGCTTTGAGCATCTTGCGTCTAGATCAAACCTCTTGGTCAGTCAGGCCTTTCAGCTTCTCGTTAAACTCTTAAGTTTATGTAGTTAAAGGAATTGGCTCACCCTAATGAGCATTATTCACGGCTGATCGACAAGAATGTTGTATGATAGCCAGCTGAAGCGTTAACTTGACAATGACCACCCTTAGGGCTTGAAGAGCGTGTTGAAGCGAATACTTGCCAAAGCTAAAGGAGTATGCGCTCATTAGGAGTGCAAAAAAGTAGCACAAACAGGCAATTGGTGGGCACTGAGATGCTTAGATAAGCAAAGGTCGGCAACAAAATTAAATTTGCGCTCCTTTCCACTTTATTTATTTTGAAAATTTCTGCTGTTGCATAAAACCAGTCGCTGCAACATTATACCGCTGGAAGGCGCAACATGATGATTTGCATATATTCGCAAAAGTTCTTCAGTGAGCGCAGTGTATGCCGAATGGAGGTAGCAGCTAGTCGATGATGGCAATGAGTAGAATAGGGGCGAGTGGGGTTATGTTTACAACAGAACGATAAATCAATCAATGCGAAAGGTTGCAGTCCAAAATACATGACACAGGCTTATTGTGACCAGAACTCCACACCTGTGCTTAAGTACAAAATGCTATGAATATATTTTGAGTTTTCAATGGAACATTATTAATTTTTTTACAGAGATTTTTACTAAAATTATCCTCATGGTTTTATCTCTGCATTTATTTTTAGATCGCTCCTATTTGTTGGCATCAGAGCTTACAAAAATTCATCGCTTCCTTTGACTATCTATACCAAATCCAACAGCAATGGGATCACCAACACCAACGTCCACAAAGTGGCATTACACGCGAGTTGCATGAGCTCTTGCAAAGTTCCAAGCGTATTTTATGCGAAACTGAAACAGCTATTAACGGCTGCTTCCCACGCAATCGACGCCAGTTGCTAACCATTACACGGGAGGAAATGACTGAGATCCTTAATTTTTATACAACAAGCCAAACCTCTACTGAACTAGGTGTTAATCATACCGATATGCGATTTCTGAAATTCTTTTATCAGAACTACTTGCTGCGACTTTGGAAAACGTTACCATGTAATCCACATCAAATTAAACTGGAATCTACTTGTGTTAACGCAGTTACGTACACGCGGAATTGAACTTCGATATTAAGTATTCGAAATTAAGTGAAAAACTAGAAAGAAGAGTTATTTTCTGATTTTTTACCATTCAAGAGCAAATTTTTGGAAAAAAATTTTCGTATTAAATATTAGTTCTTATAGTTAAAAAATAGATTATACGGGGCTATATGATTAAGTTTTCCGATTCCTATACCTCTTGGTGACAGTGTTTATTTGTAAACACGTGTGTGGAATTCCATATTTCTCGCACTCAGATATAACAGATCTCATTTGAACAAACGGGAGGATGGAAGTTGCCCAATTTCGATAACTTTCAATACCAATGTGTACTTAACTATACTTTTGTCAAATACTAAATTTCATTCCCGAAGATGTTTTAGATCTTAAAAATCGATTGTATATATGCTGCAATGGTCCGATCTGGTAACAAAAGATTACTTCAATGTAATATCTACAACGTACCCAGCTTGGTTGAAATATTTTAAAACTGAGAGACTAGTTTGCGTATAAACAGACGACTAGGGTAAATCAAATCGTAATGGGTCTAATATAACATTTTATTTACTGGAATGGTATAAAATAATATAAAATATTAAATGAAATTACATAAGACCAAATAAAGCGAATGAAATAAAAAAAATTAAAAAAATATATTAAAATTTAAAAAAGGGTGAAATGAAATACAATAAATAAAAAGTGAAAGAGATCAAATAAAAAAATAAGTGAACTGAACAAAATATGATGAAATAAATTTAATAACTTAAAATAAAGTGAAATAAAATAAACTAAACTAAAATAAAATAAAATAAAATAAAATAAAATAAAATAAAATAAAATAAAATAAAATAAAATAAAATAAAATAAAATAAAATTAAATTAAATTGAATCAAGTATTGAACGATATAAAAAATGAAATTATATTAAATTAATCTACATGAAAACAATTAAAATATTTAAATAAAATAAAGTAAAATATATGTTTTTTATATAAAATAAAAATATTCTAAATATTAAAATTTAGTAAGACATTTTTCAACAGAGGCTACAAATGAATCTTCATCTTACTAGTTTTATTACAAGTCGTCATAAGTTATATGTGGCTAGCGTAAAGACTAACAGACGTTGGTGTAAGGAAAATATTTGTAATAATTAAAACTCAAATTTAATTATTTAAAGTTAAGCTCTTTAAATTGTAGGATTTTAAGTTAATTATTTATTGATATGTTTGAAAAAATATATGGCTATTTATTTATTTATTATAGAGTTTAAGTAATTTGAGCAATGATGCTATTAGTATTGTGATAAAAAAAATTTATGGTCTGACTCAACATCGACCGCAAACGAAAAATAGCTTAATTATTCTAAGTAAGAGAAAATGTAAATATACGTGTAAATGTAAATTTGTATCTGAAGTAGTTGATTATTGATGGATCGTGCACATATTTTTGCGAGGAGATTTCTTTCTAGAACTAAAATCACACTTATTATGTATCCGAAAGTGAAATTGTTATTATTATTATCTTTTCGAAAATATATGAAATATGCCCAACCCTATTTCCTCTGCATGGTTAGCCTGATTTTAGCTAATTTGATGTGATTTGGAATACGAAAAACAAGTTTAAAATTGCTCACTTAAAATTTTCTTTGAAACTCTTGTAAAGGCTTAAGTCAAATAATACAGTAAAAAAATAGTGAATTCGCCAATAAGAAACTGGTTAGTTTTCATATAGACAGCGCTGGCTATTTTTTTTAACAGCTTTTGACTATTTAATTGTATTTGCACGTAATTTTGATTTTGTTTGTTTGTTTGGCGTCAATTTTAATATGGTGCCCACAAAAGAATATTTTCGTCAAATTTAAATTTAATATTTTCTAAACTAAAAAAATACATGAGAGAATTTGGGTATACCAAAATCAACGTTTCATAATCATATGCGACGTCTCGGACTGGTAAAAAAAACTTGAAAACGAATTAACAGAAATTCAACTGCACAAATTGACGCATCCACCAAGGAGAAGCGGCCAGAATTGGTCAATAGTAAAGGGGTCTTATTCCACCAGGACAATGCTAGACCACACAAATATTTGGTCACTCACCAACAACTGAGAGCACTTGCCTGGGAACGTTGATACACTCACTATATAGGCCTGACCTTGCTAACATTTGTTTCGATCTTTGCAGAACTCATTAAATGGCACACCTTTGGAAAATGACGAGGAATAAAGTAGCACTTCGTTAATTTTTTTGCCGCAATTAGAAAATTTTACTTAATTTTTTATTTAAATAATTTTTTTTTCACTTTTTCGATGTTAATACGACACCCGGATTTGCACAATGCAAACCAATCGGAAACCGCGGCCGCCACAAAAAAAGTATTTATTTTCTTTGAAAAAGTTGCCGGTTTCTTTTGGGGCAACCTAGTACATGACTACTATTAGATCGAAAATCGCGCAACGAAATCAATAATTGTTTGCTGTATCTAGGAAATTTCTCTAGGTCTTCGGTTGGTTGGTTGATTGTTGTTTGAAATGCGAAGATGGAGGAACTGACCACGTATGGCCGCAATTTAGTAAAGTTATTGTGCTCCCCAATTTGAAACGACTATACGTGTATGTTATGGACGGGTAAGATGGCTCCATTAATATTCCGATATACCAGCAAGGATACTAAGCTCCAGTTTGCTTATTGCTAGTGACAGTTTATTCGGGCCTTAATAGTTTCTCTAGGGTTCTCAATATTAGTATGAGTCCTGCAATACTTAGGTAGAGCCAATAAATCATGTGTGGTCGTGTCCATCAATGTTAAGAGATTTACTTTACTTTTATCATAGATAACATCTTTCTTTCTAACCAGGTTGGAGGGGTCTACAGTGTTGTCTACCAAAAAGCCATATGTTACATTGGTGAACCTTTATAGTTCTCGCTAAGAGACTTTTCCCACATTCCTCGTTTATAGAGAAGCGATTACGGACTGGAAAACTCGATGCTATTAGAATGCTATATTAAAACCCTTTAAGATCTTTTCATGCATCTTTGATTCTCGAATATCGAGTCTCGACTTAATATGATTGGAAATTTTGCTTAATTTTTATATAATTAAAATTTGATTGTAAATATTTTGTCCAATAAGAAAACCCCTTCTTGTAAAGTTCATATAGTGCAACTCATCTTCTAATTATTTTCTTTCGGTTTCCAAAAACCGACTTTTATTGCTTCACGCTTTCGTGACCCTGACTACCCCTTATACCTTAAATGTTCTTCCTACTGTTACCAAATCGGATAAGATTTTCATCTCATACGGCTTCCGCTTCCGTCCAATAACACCAACAGCTATAGTAGACTTTTATGGGTTGCGACTAGGATTCTCACTACTCGGCCATTGCCCGAAAGTAGGAAAGTAATTAATGAAATTACTTGCTTTGCACACTCATTTTACTAGATAAAAGCGTCACATTATAAAAAGGGTTAGTAATGTTTGGCCTACAAACTCACAAGGGACTTCGGTTACTCCAAACAAGTTTTGTGATTTTTTTTATATTAAACATATTTCTGGGAATGGGCATGTGAGACCAAGCCCCAGCAAATATTTGCATAGTACATAAAGAATAAAACAGTCAGAATAAAATCAAATGAGTGTATATAGCAGCAATATAACGTCATCGTTCAAAACTTCTATGTGTACGAGTACAATTAATACGTCATAGTTTTATGAAAGTGTGAAAAATTCCTCTATTTGCCAGATATGGTTGTGATTTGTGATTTGCGATTTTTGTAGGGGAACAAGCAGAAAGAAACCAAATTCCTGCTTATGTTGTTTTACAAAAACAAAACGAACAGCATAAGTAGGGGGAACATATAATATTTACTTAAAAATCGACGCGCGTCAGAGTATAATTAAATATTTACTTTTTTGGCTAAACACAAACAAACGTACATATATACATACATATGCATATTGTAAAGATTGAATCATTCATTCTCCACCGCTCTTAGGTAAATAGTAGGCATGCAGGCAGATACATGCAGACTGATGAACGAAGGCATGAATGAATGAATGGATGAATGAGTGTACATATAGACATTTTGAATTGTCTCCGCCCCCGCCACTGCTGCTTACCCATTGGCCGTGGTATTTATGTACATATGTAAGTATATGGAATAAGACGCAATGCATTCCATAGTTAAAAATAGAATTAATAGTATTATTACAAACAAATGTATGCCTATATGTACATACATATGTAGGCAACTGATACACCCACACAAAGCTAATTATGTACATCATTGTTTTATATGTATACGCAAATGTACATAAGGTTTTTTTTTATATAGGCTGCAGGCTGCAGATCGCAGTTTTTGCTACTTGTTGATTTTTTTACCTCCTAAATGTGTTTTTTTTGTATATATTATATATGTAAGTATTATTTACAACACATTTATGTTGCAAAGTACTTCACTCAATTGCGGCAAGAGCATGATGGTCGAGTATGTTTGTAGTTAAAGATTTTATTACTCATCAGCCCGCTCAATGGCTCAGAGCCAACTGTGAATCGTAAATTCAAACTAAGAGTACACAGAGTGTACATACAATACAGTAGTATATTTATGCACAAATTTACCTACGTATGTAGGTAAGCGAGCTTCTTACTGCTAAAGAGGCTTGCGTTCTTGGAGGTGTCTGGATAGCTGGAGGGCAGGCACCATGATATTTAGATTTTCAATAACGAAATCTCGCCCATTTACATACATAAACAGCTACATGCCCACATATGTACTTACCTCCATCGTAGAGTCAATATAGATTTTGTGCTCATCTCCATTTCTATACTGTTGCATGCGGTAAAAGCCGATGAGTAATTGCAATTTGTGTGCACGTTTTTCCTCTACACAGCCAGGGAGGTTTGGAACACAGACATTATTTTTGCTTACTCTCACGCACATACATACACAAATACATATGTATGTACAAATATTTATATCTACAGATATTAAGCTATAAACACCTACCCATTTGTAGTGATTTTCTGCGATTTATTGTTGTTGTTTACATTTCAATTTATTGTATTTACTTGCCAATTTTACTCAATTCTATACACATATTAGAAATTAACTCATAGCTCGGTAAGTAACTTACTACGAGTATACGCCGCTATAATGCAAAGGGAGACTCAAGCCGAGCCGGTAAAGCGTGTCGCTGACTAACGCCTCATTCATGTGCATGCCAATGCCTGTGTAGGTATGTGTGTGTGTGCGTGTGTGTGTTTGTGTGCATGTAAGTAAACGCCAGCGCGTTAACAAGCTCTTTAAGAGAGACGGCATTCAAATGTTTTTAGTTAGTTCATAAAAAGACTGCGAAACGAAAGCAACGATATTATTAAGTAGGAAATCGACAAATGAGCAATAAGCAGCTCGGAGCAAAATAATAATATAAATAATAACAGTAATAATTGAAACGAACGAATTAAGTTTTAAGCGGGATTTTAAACATAAAAAAAAAATATTTATTATTAAACCTACCTAAATAAAGTCAATTTAACGAAGCTGTGAATATATTAATTAAAAAATAATTTAATATAAAATTAAGAAAAAAACTCAACGCTAATTAATTTAACCAGTTAAACACGTGACTGCAAAACAGAAATTATTTGAACTTTAACGCACGTGTGATATCAAAAGGACTTTTCAAACAAAAAAATTGAGAAGAATCTCATTTACATTCGAGAGCAACAAGTAAAAGAGAGCAGGAAATAAGTGGCTTCCTTTAGAGAAGCTCATAATAACATTAATTTTTACAAGGGCCAAAAGGTAAGTTTCAGAGATAAAAGGAATACAGCAAAATAAATTCACTCCCTAAAAAATATCTAAAACATTTGAAATCTGAAGAAAATTTAATCAGAACTATATTGAGATGGACAATTAAAAAATTATTCTTACAAAATTGCCCAATTAAAATAAAAAATAATTAAAAAAGAAAATAAATAAATATAAATCATATGTATTTAGTATTAAATAAAATATTAATAATGAAAATATTAAAACAACAATTTTAATTAAAAAAATAATGAATATAATTAAATTAATACCTAAATTAATATTTATCTTTCAATGTAAAATATTTTCTTAAATATGATAGTAAAATAAAAACAAAATGTAAATTAAAACAATACTAAATTAACGCAATTTATTGTAAAATACTTTTTTCACAGATATAAAAATTATTATAATTATGATTTAAATATATTAATAATTAAATTACTTAGTCATTATTAGCATAATGCCTTTTTGTTTTTTAAGTAAAATTTTTAAAAATTTTCGAGCTCGATAATGCTTTTGTATAGGCCATTTCTAAATGTCTGAAATTTTGGAAAAATATTAAGTAATATTTTTTTTATTTTGAATAGCGAGCTTTAAATATTTTTAGTTTTCCCAATTGTCGACTGAAATATTTTTTATTTTTATACAATATATTCTTTTATTTTATGTCCAATTTTAGTTTTAAGTATTTACCTATAAAAACAGTTACAAAAAATCAGAAAATAATATGTTTTCTTCTGCTCACTTACGCACTGATTAAATTGCTTAAATTGCTTTGAGCCGCGTCATTACTATGTCGTCATAATTGCCAAGCACAAGATATGTAGGTCAATACTTTACCTTCACCTTCATTTCTGACCAAAACATACGAAAAATAATAACAAAAGAAATTAGGATAAATAAAGTGGTAAAAATATGTAAAAATTAACTATAATTGGGAAATTCAAAACACAACGACCTTTCCTTTGCCATTTTAACGACACCAGACATGGGTTATTAAAGAGCTGAGTCCGCTTACGCCTACGAGCGTGTGTCAACGAGCGCTCAAAAACATACACACTTGCATACATACCCGCATACATACATACATACCGTATACCTGCTCAACTCTCTGCGCTGTGCAGATATGCTGAAAGATACGTCATCAAAGCGTTTTATGGCCAATTTTTTTTTACCAAACTGTCACAGGCACGTCACGAGGAAGAGTTTCGCTGCCTATCCGTCTGTTCGCCGCTATAGCGGAGTACCCAAATTATAAACAGATAATCATATACTTCGTAGGTATTTAGGCATGCGCATACGAGTATGTACATACATAAGTATGTTCGTGCAAATGAGTGTGCCTTACTAGCATTAGACGCATAATGAACTATTCGCAACTTATAATTTGCAAACACTAAACAACAGTCCAGTTCATACAACTTTACCAAAATATTTATTTTCAAAAACAAATGCGTGTGTGTGTGTATGGGCGAGTGTTTTTGCGACTCCAACAGCTGCATTTGTCATGTACCTACAACACATTTTTTTCCATTTCGCGTTGTCACAGACAGCCATGTCTCGTGCAACTATTACTGTTGAGTGTTGTTGACTCTACAAACATTTTCTAGTTGTTGTTGCTTTATTGTTAATACGCATGCGCCACACGTTGTCTGTAGGTCTTCAAATGACACTTGTTTGGTGTTACAGGTTTTGTTATTGTTGTTGTAAACGCTGTCTGCCTACCGTTTAGTCTCTCGTAACTAATATGATAATATGTTTGTCTTGCGGGTATTTTGCAATATTAATTAACATATTTGTAGGATTTATTGCTAGCGATAAGTTGTTGTAAATGTCAGCTAAGAAAACAAAAAATTATCAACAGCAACTGGTTAGACTGCACGTAACATAAATGTGAAAAATAAAAAAATGAAATGAAATAAAATAAAATAAAATAAAATAAAATAAAATTAAATTAAATTAAATTAAATTAAATAAAATAAATTAAATAAAATAAAATAAAATAAAATAAAATAAAATAAAATAAAATAAAATAAAATAAAATAAAATAAAATAAAATAAAATTAAATTAAATTAAATAAATTAAAAGAAAATAAAATAAAATAAAATTAAATTAAATTAAATAAATTAAAAGAAAATTAACTGAAACATATGTAATTAAATTAAGACAAAAGAATTAAATAAAAAAATTTAAGATAAATCAACTAAAATTAAGTAAATGAAGACAAATTTAAAATTAGAGAAAATAACTCAAAACGAAATACAGTAAGTTTTATTAAAGTAAAACTTTTTAATACAATATTTAGTTTTGTTGAAACAAAATAAGTTTAAAGTTTATTATAAAATAAAATAAAATTGACCAAAATTAATGAAAATGAATCAATAAAAATTGAAATTAAATAAAATTATACGAGATAAAAAGCATTAAGTATATGTAAGGAAGCTAAAACAAAATGAAATAGAATTAAGTAATCATATGAGTTAAATATAATACCTAATAAATTTTCTTCTTGTTGCCTTTATAGATGTTTTCATGCTACAGCAACAGTCAAAACACAATGTCTACACCAAACAAAATAATCATAACAAATCCCACAGCGCAACGAACAAAACAGTTAACAAGTTTAACAGTGCTAACGTTAACAGTGCTAACAGTATTAACAGTAATGCCGACCAATTCAAATGCTGCTGCGATAAATGCCGCCAAAATGTCTTCCCCAACCCATTCCTCACCGAACACCGAAACAGTATTACCAGCCAGCACTGCAGAAGCAATATTAAGCAACAGCCAACCAGCTGTACTACAACAGCTGATCGAGAGTATATCAACAGGTGGACAACGTGCACGGCGTAGGCGACTGCGCAAGCGTCACACGTATTTGAGTAGTTTGGCAAAAAACGATGCAGCGTCGACGACACTCGAATGGGAGAATCCATGCGGATATGTACGTGAGCAAGATACAACACCGAGCACTTTCAGCATTATTAAGAGTCGTAGAGAGGTGCTGCGTTCTCTACGCAGTATGCTACGTATGGAAAATTCGACAATAAATAACTTACATGCGATAAACGTCGGTAATATATCCGAGTGGCGTCAACATATTACAAAATATAGATTTCTGCCAACACTGAATCGAACAGCTAAAGTGAGTAAATATACAGCTATTTTACATTTCAATGTAAATAATTTTTAAGCAAGAACTCATTATTATTCATACATTCGCGAAATGTAGTTCAGACGTCAATTCAATAGTGATTGCGTTCATACATACAAACGTATATGTGCGGGCGTTTGTATGCTGTACAATTAATTGATTACTGGGAAAATATCAAAAGCAAAAAATACTTTGTATGGAATCATGAAAATTTCAGCAGCAAATTAGTGTGGAAGTACAAAAATAAAAAAAATAAATAAAACAATAGCAATAATTTATTTCAATACATTAATGCTTACAAGCATATCATTCATTCGTAGACCGAATTTTTTTATTATTCAGTTGAACGCGCGTCTCGCTTACGCTGCAAAGCATCGCTTTCCAGTTAAATAAACCGGCAGCAGTTCATCACCAATTGACGAGTTGACCAGCTGTTCGCTTGTCACTTGCCACTCGCCAGCCAAAACTCGTGCCAACTGTGTGTGACAATCGGTTTTATTTTCTCGTTTAACATTTATTTAATCGGCAAATTATACAAACTTGTGTATGTGTGTATGTATGTATATTTGTAAACTGTTTTATTTAATTCGTGACGTAGTGACGTATTGTCATCATTTGCAAATATACGGACACAGACACACGCATACACGCACACTAACTGATGACTAATACAAAAGTTTAGTCATTTTATATTGCCTCTCGAATAAGCTTACATACACAAAGCGGGTAGAAGCTCTCACCGCAAATCTTTGTAGGTTTTGAATATATGAATGAAATAGTTATGCTTACATATTCAAATATTTATATACAAGTTTTTGTATACCTTTGTCATGTCACATAAAGGTCGCGTATGTTTGTCGCTTCGGTTTTGGCGCGCATATTCATTGAAGTCCGTCCGTTTGGCGGTCACTTAGCAGCCCAGTTTTGTTATTATTATTTTTTTTTTGTTGTTTTGTTGGTTTTACTGTGATTAGTGACAATGTTGAGTTTGTTTTGGTTCCTTTCGCTACTGATTTTTTTGTTATTTGAACACTTGCCTGAGTTATTAGCTGTGCGCCTTTGGTTTTTCTTTATTATTATTTTTTAATTCGTTATTTTTTTTGCAGTTTGTTTTAGGTAGTTTTTTTTTGTAGATCTTCTGTACATTCAAATTACTGTTGCTTTTTTTTCGTTTGATTTCCAAATATCAAATTCCTCACTTACGGGATTTTCCCGCAATTAAATAACAAAGTAGCAATTTAGGCTGGGGTCGGATTTTCCCAGTTAAATCACCAGGCATGCAATCATTCCATTCACCGGCTTTCAAACATATGTTAACCTGTTTAACATATATTAAATACGTTTCTACATCGTCTTGTTTGTCTAATCAATTTTATTGATAAAGAATTCTAAAAACCATGGCAAATCCTCTCACAAATTTAATCCATTATCTATTCTGTTGAATCTCTTTTGTTAGATGCTTAACTGTAAATTTTTATTGCTTCTTGTAACCTAATTTACTCAAAGCTGGTTTTTCAATATTTCACCTTTTTTATCATCTAATTAAATTTTTAATATTCGAGTTAGGCGGTAATTCTAATAGAATTTATTTTAGCCTTCTTAAATTTCTCTTTTTTTTGCCTATTTTTTCCTGAATTTTGAAGATTCTTTTTTGACACAAATTTTCAAATAGATTTCAACTCTTAAAAAAATATTTTTCTCTGTATCTGATGGAATTCAATTCAATACCAGTCTTTTCAAAAAGCTTATTTTTTATAGTTTTTTTTAGACTAAAAATAGGTGGCAACATTTAACTATTAAAATTTTCATTTAAACCCCTATTATGTCCTTCATAAACAACTTTTTTTGAATTGTTATTTTTTTCATTTTACCATTTTCAAAGGTATGGCAACTTTTTGCTGCTGTAATAATTTGTTAACTTAATTTTTTGCATATCTTGCATGACTTGCGTGTCTGACTGAGTACTGCTATGCGCATCATTATTTACTACACAAATATCATTGGAAATTTTATTTATCAGCAATTAACTAAATCCCACTCTCCCACTCTCTCCAATTACAGATCGATCTCCATCACTGGCATCGCGCCATGCAGAAATTCGTTGGCTCCTTCGCTGATTTGGGTGTTAAACAATATCGCTGGGATATGGAAAATCTACAAGTCACAAGCGACATCACACACGAACTCAACTCACTACTGATCAGCGCTAGGCGTACGCTCTGCAAGCTGGAATCTGCCATCATCTCTGTAAATCCAAAAGCGAAAATCCGCACAATAACACGTGAGGAGATGCACACGAAATTGAATTTCTATTCAAAGGACTTAGAGTCTGTCACCCAGCTGGGAGTTAATGGAAAAGACTTGCTTTTCGCCAAACACCGTTATAGCAAATACGTGCACCGTATGTTGCAAATAGTACGACGTAAATTGCCCGCTCGCAAAGTGCACAGAGCAACAGCTAAATCAACGGCTAACAGTTACAGCGATGAGAGCAGCAGCAATAGTCAATGGTTGGATTTGTCTGATCTGGAAGGATTTGATGCTTCTGTCATACAGCCAGCGAGTGGCATGATGAGCGATGAAGCGTTGTTGCTGTTAGAAGCGTGAAGAGTATGAGATGTTGAGTTATGAGTTAAGAGAACTTAAAGTGCTGCATGCATATATACAATATATGTGCATGTGTGCATGTGAACTGCTCCCAGTATGTGCCATTTATAGTTAAACTAAAAGAAGCTAAGTCCGCAGTCAGCATGTGTGTGTGTGCGTATGTGCGTGCATAACAGCCGTTCCGCCAACGCCGAATAGACCTTCCATTAGTTTTTAAGTAGACAAAAAATTTAGTGTTTAGACCAGTGTTCCTCCTTAAAGTATGCATCACATTATTTATTTATTTATTTATGACTTTAACATTTGTTGCATTCATTTAGGCGTAAGAGCGCATTGCACATTAAAACAATATTTATTATATTCATGTCACACATTTAGCTGTTAAGTTTTGTTTTTAATTTATTTATTGTAATTAAGTTTTTATTGTAATATGTATTAATTTATTAAATTTTGTAATAGGTAGTTAGATCACTTTTCAAATTATCAAATTCTTTACCCAACGGTATTATTTACTATACATACAAAAATAAATTTGTACGCGTGTATAAAAGAAAAAGTGTATGTTTGTATTTGTATTTTTGTGCTAAATAAATATGTAGTTGCGTGCATTTTTATACCAGCTGTGATTAGTTTAGCCACTTAATTAATTAATTAATTTATTTATTATTTATTTATTTATTTATTTATTATATGCAGTTAAGTAGACTTAAACATAAAAGTTGTTTTTGTAATTTTCTAAAAATGATGATACTAAGGGTGTTTTTTTAAAATGTGAACAAATGTATATATTTGTTAAGCCAGTTAAATACCAATAAAAAAAATAATATTTCAAGTTAAAAAGTGATGCATTTTAAATTAAAAATAGAAAAATTATAATAAAGCATTTATACCAAATCTTCAGTTCCTTATATTAGTGTTATATACAATAATTGAATACATACTTTTGTATACATATATAATTACTATTTTTTTATAAAATAATATGAAATTCTATTACAAATCAATTAAAATGTGTCACACTTCATTCGATCACATGTTGAGCAAATAAGACACTTGTCGTACGCTAATCACTGAAGCATGTGAAACTCAATTAATATTCTTTTTTAATCACTCAATAATCACTGATAAATACAGTGGCAACAAAGTGCTTGACAATTCTCGTTTAGTTTTTATATTATTTACAAGTGAGCTATGTAAATAATTGTTTGATAAAAATATACATACATATAATTTTATATGTATGTGTATAGACAAAGAGTGTTTAGGACTGTAGAACTGACACCAAATAGGTTTTTACACGCTTTTTTTTACGCTTTTATTTTATTAAAAATTAATGGTTTTAGTAATGTCCAATTATTCATTACGTGTACAAGAATTGTTGTTGTTTTTTATTAAAAGTTTTAAGCATATGCTGCCTTAGCTTCCTACAATTTGATGTGCATATCGCGATATTGAAGTTGTCTTAATTTAGTGGAATACTGGCAACTTCTTAATAATTATTTTACTCTGTAAGCCGATTTAATTTTATTATTTATTTTATTTAAAATTCGAGTACGGCAGCAATTACACTAGAGCTTATTTTTAAACTTCTTAAATTTCTATTGTTTGTTGCCCATTTTTTTCCTGAATTTTTTAAGATTTTTTTCGACAGAAATTTCCAAATAGATGGCAACTCTTAAAAATATGTTTCTCTGTATTCCGCCTAAATTCCTTTCAATTTGATATCAGTCTTTTCACAAAGTCATTTTTTAGATTTTTTTTAAACTAAAGATAGGTGGCAACTCTGAACTATAAAATTTTTCATTTTAACCCTTATTATGTTATTTGTATCTAAACTCCTTTGTTTAAACTTTTTTTTTTTATTTTACATGAGTTTTTGGCTCAACTGTAGGAAAGAAAAATTTAGTTATTTTTTTGTTAAGAAATCATATCTGAACTGTTAAGTTTGCTTAAACTGTTAATAAAGTTAAATTTCTAATTTGTGCTCACTTGGTAATTAATATTAATTTTATAAGTTTTTTAAATTTATTTTATACTATTATAAACATATGCATATTTTTTTTATGAGGAGGTTTTATTTTATGTCAGAAATACCCTCGGGGAGGTTAACATTACCAGCCGAAAGGAGACTGCAGTTAGTAAATTTTGTTTAATTTTTTTTTTAATTAAATTTCTAAAACTTTTTGGATGTTGGTATGGTACATACGTAAGCTGAAACTTTCACTCTTTCTGTCCCTAAATGACGTTTCTCTTATTATCTCATCATAAAGACACTATTTACGAAAAAACAATACAAAAAAGAGATTATCGATATTTAAAAAAATTATAATTTTTTAATAAAGTAATTTACAACAAAAATTGTACTATTACTCGTATAAGTATTATGTTTTTCCGCCAGTGTTATTATATATTATATTATGTATAATTTATTAGGGGTTTTCCAATAAGAGGTGTTATTTTTTGATATTTGACAAAAAAAAACGTTTCAGCAACGTATTGAAATATTAAAAATTCACTATAATTCACTTAGCGCCACACAAACAACGAAACCATCGATCTTTCAAGAGGAAAGGTTCCGAAACATTTAACACTCGAAGAAGTGTCACAATTGATCCCCGAGATCTTATCAATTAACATCTTGCGATTTATTCCTTTGGGTCTACGTCAACAGGCCTACGTTCAATCAAGTTCTCAAATATAGAATTCTTGAAGATTTAGAGGGCATACAGTAGTCACTTTGCCATTAGGTGATGGGGAATTTAATAAAAAGGATACGATCCTGTAAGCCACTATTAATGACATATCTTCCTCTTTATATTGAAATAAACACTCGATTTAATTTTTCCTCGAATATCAAAATAACTCCTGTTATTTGGAAACCCTGTAGACATATTTGCTACTTTTAGCCGCTGGAGTGGTTTTCGGCAGAGCTCCTCCTCAAATTGGTGTTTTACAATAAATGGAGGGAGCTATAGGTTTGGATGTTTTTGTGGAGTCAGAAAGTAGGACCTTTTTCTGCCGAGGGACGACTGCAAATACAAAAATTATTATTCCGGCCATGGCCGGCCGATAGTAGCCAAATACTTATACTTAGTAAAATGCTTATATTAAGTGTACTCGATATTTATGGGCTAAGGTTTTGCGATTAAGCTTAAAAACGTTCGAAATCAGGCGAGAACTTTATATATGAAGGAGATGCCCATCTTAAAATTTTAATGATTAGAATATATCAGCAAACTTTAGTTAGTAGTTCATAGTATTCTCAATAGGTTCAATAGTCATAAAGAAACACGTGCTAATTTTGTAAGTGACACTGTTATCCACACATCTTTTAAAGATCTTGTTAAAGATGCAAAAGCCAGTATCTCGAAATTATTAAAGATTAAAAATAACTTTGGAGTTGTGGTTTGGACTTTTGTACTTTTATTTCATTTAATTTAGGCGAAAATGAAATCGATCCTTATTGCATGAATAATAATATTGTTACAATTCCAATTTCAATTCTTCACAAAGGAATTTCATAGGAAGCAAGAAAGTTTGAGAATGTCAAATTATTTACTTTCGATGGTGAAAAACTTACAATTCAAAATTTTAAAATTTTTTAAATTTGTAATAAGCTTGAATTCTTTCGCAGAATGAAAAAATATTTCAATATAATCAGTAAAGCATTTTCTTTTCTGCATAAATGGCATATTTAATTTTTTTTCGCTTAAAAATTTTATACAATTTTTATGACATTTTTAATAGTAAAGTTCTATCGATTTACTTTTCGATGCATGAAATTGAGCAAGTATAATAAGTAAGTAAGGTATGCATTTTTGGTTTTATTCTCTGCTAAGCAACATATCTAAGCCAACCACCTTTTAGTTAATAACGTAAAATTCGTTACACGAGAACGTAAATAAAATACAATATCGTATATTTGTACTTACGGTCTCTCTTTTTATTCAGCCGAACAACAATACGTTCTCAGCTCAACGTTTTACTGGTTGTTGTCGGCGATATTATTTTTTTTGGTCAAAATGAAGAGCTCAGCAAGAAATTAATTAAATAATAAAAAAATAAAATATATATCAAATAAAATAGCATTAAATGAAGTAAAAATTGTTAAAATAATTCAAAATTTAATTTAATAAATAAATAAAATAAATTAAATAAAATTAAATTAGTACTAAGGTTAAGGTAAGGGAAAAAAATATACGTAAATAAATAATAAATCCTCCCCATCCATAAAAAGTAATTAATTAAATTTTTTTTTTTATTAATTTAGCATTCTATGTTGACGCCAACGAGTTCACTTTGTAACTAACTTATTTCGTAGAAAAACGTAGAACGTAGAACGTTCGACGTTGGGACAAATCTTAGCTTAGCTTAGCCAATTTGGATCTGACGTGACTTCACATTAGCGCCTTCTAACATTCCCTTCCCCATAATAATAATAATTGAATTTTCTTTTAATTTTGATATATAAAAAAGCTTTTATTCTGTTAGGAAAGTTCATCGCGCGCGCTTCGAAGGTCATTAAGCCAAAAAAATGGGTGCCTAAATAAGCAGAATTGTGGATTTTGAAGTGAAGATGAGCCAGAAGCGTTGCTAGAGCAACCAATTCATCCAGAAAATGTTACAGTTTGGTGCGGTTTATGCGCTAGTGGCATCGTTGGACAGTATTTCTTCAAAGATGATGCATTTCGTAACGTAACTATGAATGGTGAGCGATTCCGTGAGACACTTTTTTTTGTCCAAAATGCAAGAGCTTGACTTGGATGACAAGTGGCTTCAACAAGACGGTGCCACATGCCACACAGCACGCGTAACAATAGACTTATTGAGAGGCGAGCTCGGTGAACATTTTATTTCACATTCGGGACCGGTCAATTGGCCGCCTAGACCGTGCGATTTAAAGCCTTTTTTGTGGNGCCAAAAAAATGGGTGCCTAAATAAGCAGAATTGTGGATTTTGAAGTGAAGATGAGCCAGAAGCGTTGCTAGAGCAACCAATTCATCCAGAAAATGTCACAGTTTGGTGCGGTTTATGCGCTAGTGGCATCGTTGGACAGTACTTCTTCAAAGATGATGCATTTCGTAACGTAACTATGAATGGTGAGCGATACCGTGAGATAATATCACACTTTTTTTTGTCCAAAATGCAAGAGCTTGACTTGCATGACAAGTGGCTTCAACAAGACGGTGCCACATGCCACACAGCACGCGTGGCGCGAGGCGAGCTCGGTGCACATTTTATTTCACATTTGGGACCGGTCAATTGCCCGAAATGTTGGAAATAGTATGCCAAAATTGGACTAAGCGGATTGACCATTTGAGGCGCAGTCATGATCAACCTCTGCATGAAAAAAATGTATTATATGGACCGTACTATCGACTAAAATAAAGATTTCATGCATTTTTCTGAATTTTATGTGTTTTATTTTCTAACTTTCTCTTAAAAGATCACCCTTTATCTGTATAATTATTTATATATCTTTTTTTCCATAATACGATAGATGGCACCATACGTTGATTTAATCCAGAACTTTATTGTTAAGTGGGTTCATGCCCAAGCAGAGTTACGTGTGTAAATATCAAGCAACTCCATAGCGTGCGCTTACATGCTCTTGTTAATTGTCCTTGCAATAAGAAATGCAGCATATAGAAATAGTGTATCCAAGCAAGAGAAAACTGAGAAACCCTTCTTTATTGTTTGTTCTTGATCAGAATAATTTATGGTGATTGTTGTTTGACTTCCCCGAACTT